CGTGAGCGGAAGCCCCGGCTTAGCGTGAGCTGAGGCCGGGCTAGCATGAGCTGAGGCGGTGGGGTCGAGAATGGCGCGCCCGGCGGATCCGACGAATTAGCGATTCAGCAGACTTTTGACTAGCTGAAGAAGTGTGTCAACATGGTAAAAGCACTGTTTGATTTCATCTGTTGTTTGCAGTGCAGGCTTGTATCACAATAGAAGAAATAATTCGCAAACTAGGCTACTCACCATTCTGTGTGTGATTGTTGATCCACAAAACTAACGCTCTTTAAATTTTCAGATGCAAACCCATGAAAGACTTTCTTGCGCTGGAACACAAAACATTAAAAAGCACAAACAAATCACATTGAATAAGCACTTAATAAATACAATCACGTTGTGGCATCGATCATCAAAAAATAAAATAAAATAAATAAAAATAATGGCAACACTAGCTGATCATATTTATTTTTAATTTGTGAAAACTGACAAGCGTATAGCCACAAATGTCGTGTAATCTTACAAAGCTTCGTTCTGTGTTAAGTAAACAGTTAATATATTTTAAAGCTTGTCTTTGAAAGGCAGGAAGTCTGTTTTCATCGATGACTGAAACCGCTTCATGTTAATCTGATGATGTTCTCATGTAACGTTTCTCAGTTTCCGACGGAAGCGTGAGAGCGAAACCCTAAACAAAGACCGGTTTTATTCAAAATCAGGATGACATTAACATAAAGAGAAAGAACTTACGGTATTCTCACGAGACCAGTGAAGATATCAGAGTAAAACTGGATCCGGTGGAGTGGATATAACGCTGCTGAGCTCTGCTGAGTTTGACTTTATTTGTCTGTCATTTTATCATGTGACCTGAGCGTGTCATGTGACACTCCATGAGTCAGGCTTGTTTGTTTGCCTTTTTTATTTTATTTTTTATTATTAGGCATATTAACTTGAACACCAACAGAGATGTTCATTTTATGAAAACAATAAATATGAAAAAGTAAAAAAATAATAATAATAATTAATTAAAATTAAACGTAACGTAAAATTTATTTCTAACCTGAATATATAACTAACGAAACATTAGAAGATGATCAAATTAATAATAATAACAATATTATGCTCTAACCTGATTTTTGTTTTTACATGTATACACAGCACTGCAGTACAGTTTAAAATCATTTATTTAAAAAATGGTCTGGAGCCATACTATTTGTATGTTTAACTTTTCTATTCATTTTAATAAACCCAGGACGTCTGATGTTGGCTGGTTCAGAAAGCGAACCACTGAAAACTAACATTATTCAGTAAATATTGCTCTCATATGGGTGAATCTCACAAAACCTGTCAAGACAAGTTAATTCACTAAAAAAAAAAAAAGTGTTTATATTTTTCTATTCTATCTTCTTGTTTTTCTTTGTGTGTGTGTGTGTGTGTGTGTATAATATATATATATACACCTTGCTACGTGTACTGCGTTAGGCTAACCGAGACTTGTCATTTGCACTTATATATTGTTGCTCTTTTGTTAGTTTTGACTGCTTCTATTGTCCTCATTTGTAAGTCGCTTTGGATAAAAGCATCTGCTAAATGACTAAATGTAAATGTAAGACATGCCAAAAACAACATAAACAAACTGTATTTATGTATTAAGCACCATAGCCTGCAGATCAAGTGTAAAAATGATGAATTCTTTGTCTTGTAACGAATAATAGAAGATAACATTTTTGGTGTGTTTTGATTATTTCAAAATTGATAATGATAATTTCAAATTACACAGAGCAATCCTTTAATAAAAGTCTTTCTTCGGCACAACAGAAAATTAGGTAATTGCGCTGCTATGAGAACAAAGCAAAAAAAAAAAAAAACACTTTTTGTACACAAATTTAAAGTCAAAGCAGAAAACGTAAAAGTTCATAACAGTACGTTTACAGGTTTTGTAAAGGACAATCTTGGGTTTTTGCTCCATGGATTTGGTTTGTTGTTGTCAGATGGGAATGTTTTGATCTTTTCCCCCTGAAAACGGTCGTCTCCTCCCCATCCTCTCCTTCTTCTTGCTCCAGTCTCCCTCTCTTCACAAAGTGCTGGATCCTGGACTCCAAACTCTCGCAGCGCGGCCGGTCCAGAAGAGGCTGGTACTTCCTCTGCCTGGAGCCCTCCATGAGCCAGCACTGCAGAGATGTCATCTCTAAGAAAACAGAAACAAAAACTGTTTTACAGTGGTTTTCACATGCTACTTTTTAGATAAACATCAGGCATTCCAGACAATTAATAAATAATTTTTGAGTAGTAGTTTCAGTATGAACACACACCTGTGGTTGTTTTCTGAAGGCCTTGGATCATGCTGAGCAGAACTTGGGTTTTCACTGCATTCTGAACCCAGTGCTGGTGCAGAGAGTTCAGGACGTGGTTTTCCTCCTCCGTTTCATTCCTCCAATGCACACCCTCGAAGTGGCAGTCATACAAAACCAAAGGGTAATCCACCGCCATACTATAAAACATAGACAGCTATGATTAACATTTACTCATTTAGTCAAGAAAATGAAAGTTCCTATAGATCTGAAGTGAAAGATCAAGTCTAAACTGAGCACTAAGCAGCTTCACGTGGAATCCAGGATTAGCTAAGGAAATACTGAAATAAATCTCACCTGTATTGAGGTTTCCTTGGGTTTTTCTCCACATCCAGCAGTTTATCAATGATTTCTGGAGCTTCGAGTTTCTGTCCAATGAGTAGCAGCAAAGCCATCATGCAGCGAACCTGGAAGAGCAAAGTTAGTGGTTATGTTTAGAATGCAATACTGCTAAACACTTTTTTAAATGGCAAGGACACCTTGATGACTTCAAAAAATCTAACAGAGCAAAAATCAACAGTAAAATAGCACCAAAAACAAAGATCTTTAACTTGCCGAGACAGTTTCTAAAAAGTTATTGACTACTACATATTGAAGACATAATTTCAAAACGATTTATAAATATCAACAGTTTTTACTGCACCCAACAATATTTGAAAATGTATTTTAATCTATGGTCACGCCTACTTTCTGTTAAAAAATAACTATTAGAATCAAAATAATTCAATTTATTAAATAGTTTTAGGAGCTGAATGCTCTTCAGGTGTTAAGATTTGATTAATAATTAATAATAATAATTATTATTATTAATAATAAATTATTATTAATTATTACGATTGTATTCATTTACTTGACTTTTCCAGGCAATGTTATTATAGTTAACTATAACTAAAATCAAGAGAAAACATTTCTGTTAAATTTCATAATAAAAATAAAATACTTTAAAAAAACTTATTTTATGTCAGCTAGTTGCCAAGCAAATATTTCTCATTTTTATTTAGTTTTGGTTAATGTACTAAAATAACTGAAAACTGAAATACAAATGAATAAAAACTATAAAGAAATATATATATATTTTTTAAAAGGTAAACACTGCAAGGCTTAACTTATTAAAAAACAAAACTGGTAGGTTTTATTTATTAACATAAGTTAACTACATTAGATAACATGAACTAACAATGAAAAATACTTCTACAGCATTTATTACATTTAGATCATATTAGTTTCAATATCTACTAAAACATTATTAAAATTCAGAACTGTATTTAATAACATTAGTTAATGCACTGTGAACTAACATGAACCAACAATTTCATGTTTACAAACATTAACAAAGATTAATAAATGCTGTAAAAATGTCACTCAATGATAGTTCATGTTAGCTAATGCATTATCTAATATTAACAAACGAAACCTTTTTGTAAAATGTTACCACAAAACCTAATAAGACAAAATGACAAAAACACAAACATTAAATATGAATATAAAACCTCTGAAAATGGAAAATATAAAAAATTACTTATTCAAACTATTAATAAAAACTATAATACTATCTCAATGATACGTCCAGTTTAAATACTTAAACACTGTTTTCAGGTCTAGAACCCAAGACAGTGGAATTTCTAGTTCTTCAAAGGAAGAAACATAAAATAATAAATATCTAGATTTTTTTTTTTTGTTTTAGCTGATTCTAAATCTTGTTTTGTCTAATTTTATATAATTTATTGAAGGCCTCCAGTTTGACACGAGCTCCTTACCTGGTGATAGAGGAAAGCAAGACCTTTGACCTGGAAGACATAGAGTTGGTGTGGGTCATTAGGGCAGGTGGGGTTAAGCTGGGCTGGCTGGATGGAGGCAGACAAGATGGTCCTTTGGAACCGCAAGACTCCATTACCTACATCCATCTTACAGATGTTCCTGAAATCATGTGTTCCCTCATACCTGCATCCCCAGAGGAACATAATTATCCACTCAATTGTTGTCCACTTTTATAATGAAATGTTCAGATACTTTTTGATTGACTGTATATTATTCTTTAAGCAGACAGTACAGTGTGTGTTGATGTTGTGATCTACTGACCGTTTAGCAGCCTCTGTCATGAGATCCACGTCTAAGTCTCCACGAGGGAAGTAGTATCTGTATGTTCTGGACTGGCAGTCGAAGCGTGCACTGAAGCCGGTTTCTACAGGAGCCCACTGCAGGATCCTAATGTCCTGTGGCAGGACTCTATTTAGCATCTTCACGTAGGGTAATTCTTCTGCAGACGCCTTGGCTTTGACCTCCACTCCAGCCAGGACAGTCACACCTAAACCTCCTCCATACTGTGTTGAGCGCACATCAATGGATATGACCTGGTGGAGAAGAGGGTAAATATCAGGAATACATGACTTTAAGAAATATGAAAATAAATGTATGACTATTCAGATCACAAAAAACCAGCACAAATGTCATGCCATAGTAGTAGTAACATATTCACAATTCATGTTATACTTTTAGTTATAATCTAATGATTATTTATTATTGTGTCAAATAACTAAAAATCTGTTTATATATTTGTGAATATCAAGAATCCACGACTTTACAAATTATGAAAACAAATGTATGACTATTCAGATCACAAAAAAGCATAAATATAATAGCATAATTAATTATTACATTTTATTATATATTTTTTTATTAAAATATTCATAATTCTTGTTCTACTTTAAATTGTTAGTTTAATGATTGTCGTGTCAAAATTAAATGATTGAAAATTGGTTCTAAACATTAGTTCTCAGATGCAAAAATAAATTATATTGATGTATAAAATAGTATTGTTTAAATTTTTATTTTCCATTATTGTGGGAACGCTTGCAAATGTGACCCTGGACCACAAAACCAGTCGTAAGTGTCAATTTTTCAAAATTGAATACTGAATAAATAAGCTTTCCATTGATGCATGGTTTGTTATGATAGGACAATATTTGGCCGAGATACCACTATTTGAAAATCTGGAATCTGAGGGGGCAAAAAAAATCTAAATATTGAGAAACTTGCCTTTAAAGTTGTCCAAAATGAAGTCCTTAGCTATGCATATTACTAATCAAAAATAAAATTTTGATATATTTACGGTTGGAAATTTAGAAAATATCTTCATGGAACATGATCTTTACTTAATATCCTAATGATTTTTGGCATAAAAGAAAAATCAATCATTTTGACCCATACAATGTATTTTTGGCTATTGCTACAAATATACCCCAGTGACTGCTTTTGTGCTCCAGGGTCACAAATATGAAAACATGATCAATGTCAAAACTCACAAAATTCATTACCTGAGAGAAAGCACTGACTCCTTTATCTGTGCGGCCGCAGCGGTGATAGTTGGAGGTCTGTCTGTCCTGGATCAGTTTAGTCTTCATCAGTGCCTCAAAAAGCCGGGCTTCAACGGTGTTGTCTGTGTTCTCCTGGACCGCGAAGCCCTGATATTGCCAGCCGAGATACGCCAGCCGCAGTGCCACATGTCTGCGAGGATGG